TATATAGCATTGTGTAAAAAGAAGAACATATGTTAATTGGAAGCTATAGTCAATGTTCTGTCTACCTCAAAAGGTATATAATATATTTATAAATTGACAGCATTCCTTGAAGGATGTAATTGTAAGATTTTATCTATCCAAGGCCTTCCCTGGTGGCACAATGGGTTAAAGCACAGTAATATGAAACTATCTGCAACCACTACAGCATGAGTTCAATCCCTCTCAGGGAGGTGACCCACATGGTGTGACAGACCCCTCTTGATCTGCTTGCTGCTCCTCTTAGCAGTATATCTGCCTATACTGCTCCCCACTATGTATCTGGTGAATCCTCTCACCCCCTGGACCTCTGGTGTGTACCCCAGTTCTTATATGCATAAATAAATAAATCTTTTTTTAAAATGGTTTAATTTATCCAACTATAAGCCCTATGGTCTACTTAATGGCAAAACAAATAGTTACAAATGATGTAACATAAAAGCATGAATATTATGCTTCCCTTTTCTACACATACGTATGTTCATAATACATAGACTATTTCTGGAATAATATACTAAAAACAAAACAAAAAAGTGGCTAATTCTATAAGAGGTGGGGGTGGAAGAATTAGGACTTAGCTGTATTCTGTGTGCATTTTATTTTTAACCATATATAGGTATTATTTTTTTCAGTAAACTAATTTTTACAAAGTATGTCTAAAGAGCCAAACTGTTTAAGTGGATTACTCCAGTTGGACACTGATGTGAACTAAAAAAGCATGTATGATTTCCTCAGGGCAGAGTTCTAACTACCTTGTACCTACAGAACAAGTAGGAGAAAATGATTGTTACTGTTTCTAGAAGCTATTTATTTATTACAGGATTACACATTTAGGAATGATTATGGGAGAAACTAAAATCATGATTCCTGTGTTTTTCCACACTTTTTCCCCCTCTTGGCTCTAGTTGAAGACTTTAACCTTTCAAAGAAAGGTTAAGAAAAAGAATGACAGTAATAAGCTAATACAACTTTAAAGAAGTAAAAAAGGGCAACTTTCAATTTTTAGGGCTGTCTCCACATGAATCCTGCTGAGAGAATGACTTGTGAACAGCTGTTGCAGCATTCATACTTTCACAGCATCAGAGAAATTGGGGACTTGGCAAAAGAGCACAACAAACCAACAAGGAAGACCCTGAGACCAAGCCGAAAGCACCTACCTGGGGTAAAAACGGAGCCCTGTTTGCCAAAACAGCCAAGGCTACATTCAGCAGATCTCATACCTCCCACCCGGCACAGACTGCATCTGTACTTCACGTTGCAGTTGTGGCTTGCAACTCAGTACTGTCATTCCAAAACTAAATGGGCGGCATGTGATCTGATCCATCAGTCAGGGCCCCAAAAAAGTCTTCCATCTTTCTGAATCTCACAGGTCTCCTGAGTCCCCTGCTGCCACTCACTGACCAGTTTAGGGTGTGCATAAGCACAAGTCTCAGCCAGGTTTATGAGCGTGAGACTAACTGAGCACACTTCTTGTGCTTTGGAAAGTGAAATCAGATTTTTCCTAGGCAGTTCGCTGTCATGTTTACCTTAAGTGTTGGCTGACATTCCAGGTTTATCCAAAAAGGGATTCATCAGAATTATCTAGGCTAACTACAGTGATGAGTACTTTCAGGGACCACAGAACAGTACACGTGACCAAAGAATGGCATCCACACTGCACACTGTGGAGCCTGTGAAGAACCATGATGGGTGTAAAACAGCAAAATGGGCTTAAGTATCGATTCTTAAGCCAAAAGCTATAATAATTTAGAATAGATTATACTTGTAACCACAACTAAGGTGTGCTGGCTGTTCTGGTTACTTCTGGATCTGTGAGGTACCACTTAAACTACCATTATCTTGTCTTAAGTCTCCCTTCGCAGCCTCTACTGCCCAGCACACTGGTTAATGTGTAAAATTTAGTGGAAAGGAGAATAGATAGGTCCATTAGGAACAGCTACCCCATGGACTCGAGAGCACTAAAACAGGCCAGCACATTGGAATTAAGAATGCTTTTATGTTGGTCCTTGTCAGTTAGGAACCAGATAGCACAACAAGCTGAAATAGATTTTCCCCACAGAGATGCCTGCCCCCTAGTTTGCTGTGTTACTTTGAGTGAAGGGTCATGATGGAAATCTTTCTACTTGAAAGAAAAGAGGTGCCCTGCGAATTGATGTATACTTTTTATAGGTCTTGAAAGGATTTTGCAGTTTAGTTTAAAAGAACTAAAAAGTACCTGTTTTTCATATATGTTTTTCTAGGATCATATAGAACACAAAAAGCGTGTGTTCTCATTTTTATTTGACATTGAGAATAAATCCAAGCATTTTCTGACAGCACAAAGAAGCAATTTTGCCTTTTTAACTAAAGAGTAAGAAGGCATTGACTTACATAATCCCTAAGGGTTCAGTAGGCTCTTAACTCCTGTGAATCTATATTCCTCCCAATGTTAATATACAGAGCTTTCCTTCTTTTTTAAACTTTCTCATGATGTGCACCTGCTTTTCAAAATAAAGTAAACCTTTAAAAGGAAAAGCAAAGACCCACTTTAAACATCTGCTCTCTGAAGTGAAACACTCCTTTGCACAGGGAGTGTTTCTGTGCTGAAGAAGTTCCTTACTGACTTCTTTTGTACTCTGTTATCAACAATCAAAAAAGTGAATAGCAACAAATGTAATGATGTGCTTTGTATTTTCAGCTGCAGTACCTACCTCAGTTGGCCAGCAGCAGCATCCTTCCAGCTTTGGACACTAAGAAGTACTACTGTAATCCCAAGAAACTTCACTATCGCTTTCCAAACATTTAAGGATCTTAGAGATTGATGATAAGAAAGGGAACTCATTGATAATTTGGAGAAAATAAAACATATATAGTTGTTTGAGAACAATCACAACATTGAATACCATCAGGGGAAAACATTAAGTAACTAACTCACTGGGAGGCCCCTTGGCATGATGTGAAGGAAAATTCCAGATGCGGTCTTCTTGCTCCATGGAGGTGTACAGACAGCAGAAAGACTACTTGGATTTTCATTTACATTTTTGTTGTATCTAAGTGACTTACCTTATGGACTAAATATTAATTGTATCTCCTGTCCATACCTTTGGCAAAATTAAAAATGTAACAAAAGATGAATACTTCAATTTTACTATATGCAACAAGTGAAAAATGGATTATGAAATGCCCACATGTATTTCCTTAGATGCTTGCCTTGAATCCTATCTCCTGTCTTTTTAAGATTGTCTCAGCATCCTATTCAAGGAGTTTCCATTCTTAAAATCAAAATTTTAAAAATTCCATTTCATGCTTATTCTCTTTTGATTTTTATATTTTGAATTTTTTTTTGAATTTTTGAGTTCCAAATATTTAAAATTATATGGATTTTCATAAACTACTACTAACGTGTACAATTCTATAGTGATATATTTATAGACAATTTTTTTTTAAGATTTATTTATTTTTTCACACAGAACTGGGGTACAGGCCAGATGCGAAGAGTGAGAGGCTTCACCAGAGACAAAGCGGGGAGCAGAACAGGCAGATCAAGGAAGTGCACTGCTGAGGGGAGCAGCGGGCCAGTCAGGAGAGGTCTGCTGAGCCATGTGGATCTCCTCCCGGGCAGGCGGGAATCAAACTCATGTGGAAGTGGCTTAAGCTTCCCAGCGCTGCTCCTTAACCCACTGTGCCACCAGGGAGGGCCATTATAGACAATTTTTACATATATTTCCATCTTATCTTTAGTAAAGGGGAGTATCTTAGTCATTTTCACAGGCTAGATGGATTTACTATAATCCATTACATTTGCTCTTGTACACAATGGCTGGAACTTGATGACTAGGGGATAGAACAAGATCTACAGGCTTCACAGGAACTGAGCTTGTGAGCGTCACAGTAATTAGCACTTTTATGCTCTCCAGCTCAGCCTCAGACTTGGAGGCAGACCTATAGGCAGGACTATACATAGTGATGTGAATTTTGGGAAACTGCTCGAGCTTTTACTTGGGTAATGCAAGACATTAGATTGCAAAACTGATGTTTTCCCTGAAATGTCTTTTTATCTTTTTATACTGTATGTATGTATGTGTATATATGTTCACACAGATGCGTATGTGTGTAGCTATATCCTATCCAAACAAGTAATCAGTAACAACTAATAGAAAGCAGTCTAAAACGATATTGAGGATTCCTAGCATTAGACAGTGATACTTAAAATAACATAATTATCTTTGATTTGGCCTATTTTTTATTTAAGCATTTTTTTTATCCTTGTCCTCTGAACACGTTAATATGAAGTTCTTGTCCCCTGAACACAGGTTAATATGAAGTTCATGCCTGTTTCTAATGGTTCAACATCATTTTTGATTAATGTGCTGCTTCTGTTTCCTAATAGCTCTCAGCAATGGTTTTTGAAGTATCTTACTGTATCTTCAAACATTTCTTCTTCACTCTGTTTAATGCACTATATAACAAAGATTTTCTTCATGAGAGCATCTGATGAATTCATTGACTGTTGACTAATCCCCAAATTCTTCATCTTCTCAATAATTTGGGCTGTCAATTTAATGACGTCTGAGGGCAACCCAATGTTTGCATAGAGCTGACAGTGAGCTAAATCAATATTCCCAGTGTTAGCTAACTCTTGTTATACAACCTTGATTTGAATGACAAGGAAGGATGTCCAACTTCTGTGAATAGTTTACAGTGTGTTGTTTTTTCCTTGATTCAAAACAATGCACTTGACAGAGGCAGATGACTATATTTCATCAAAGTGCCTAACTCATTCAGTAGTTTTATAGAAAACCATTCCTAATAGAAAAGTAACTCCAGACTAAGTTTAACCTGTTGCTTCACTGAATAGTAATCAAATAAACCTGAGATAGAAGGGATCATTTTTTAATGAGTTCTATTAAATGTATACTTGTACTTAATTCAGCCATATCTGAATCCACTCCACAGCATGGAATTATCACTGTTTCAAAAGAAACTATTATATATATTCTTTTTTATTTGCTATTTTCTGAATTTTTAAATGACAGTGGCAATTTTATCAGTAAATAGTGTATCATTTATGCTAAGTGCTATTTACATAAGTTGGTTTCAAACACAATTAAAATTCATCTTTCTACCTAAATGCCACATTGTAGAAAGTATTTATTTCAAAATTAATTCCAATCAAGATTACATTCAACAACTTAAAGTTTAAATCAAATATGTATAAACAAGTTGGTATATAGCTAACAATAAAAGACTGAAGGCTATTTCAAGCAGTAAAAATGAAGATCTATTTTATCTATAGCTGATATTCTTTATCACTGCTTTCTAGATAGAAACTGAATTTTGTGCTTGTACTTCTTTTGGATATTTTTTGAACTTTTAGGATGTAGTATCCAAGATATACAAGGGAATAAAAATGTTTTAGACATGTGAAATTTTATTTCAAACAATTTTTTAATTTAAGCAAAAAATAAAGGTAGCTGTACTTTCTTTGATTGTTTTCTTTGTTCTACAGCAATCAGATAAAGTATTTAAATCCACCAAACTAGACATATTTATGTCTAGTTTTAACAAAACTAGACTAGGCTTACAAAATAGATGAATTACACCGAAACTGTTCATTCCCAGACAGGAGATATATTATAAAGAACACAGGAATGCAAGATCATGAGAAATGCAAACAAACTCTTGGAAGCAATGTGAACGTCTCAACCACTGACAAATTTGCATAATTCACTCCACCTATAAATCTAAACTTGAGCTTTCAGCCTTTCATAATTGTACATTTATAGTAACATGCCTCTGTTAAAATACAATACAGTATCTGTTATACATCTGAGTCACAAATATCTAGATCAAGACATGTCTGTATAGATATTTACATAAAATAAGAAATATTATTAGAATTTAAAATGCTACCATGTTTGCAGTTCTCTTAAAGTGATTTAATGATTTGCTTTAATCACTTCCAATTGAGTAACTTTAGTGAGTCACACCAGAATACTTTTTTCTGCATATAATAGACTCTGCTTTGAAAATATTATGATAATACATCCTCATAGTTCTATTGATAATTGTTTGTTACTATTTAAGATTGATAATTTCAAATGATACTCATGTTGAAATAAGACAGTTATTATTACTATTTTACTTCAAGTCCAATTTTAGTTCCAAAGATGGCAGTGCTATCTTAAAGGCTTGGACAAGGTTTTCTTTGTTTTTTACTCCAGGCAGATCACTTAACAACAAACACTTGAGGTTACTATAAAAAGAGAAAGAAGTTACTTCAATTTTGTTTTTACTCTTATAACAATAACTTTAGAAGAAATCAGACACAGAAATGTACTCGTATCATCCTACACTTTCAAACTGACATTTACACGTTGTCTTAGAGTACTGTTTCAAATGAAACTCACACTAGAGATTGAGCCAGATTTCAGAAAGTTTAGTTGTTCTGAATTACATCAATAATTCTAACTGAATCTTTCCAAACACTATACATGTGTTACAGTATAGCACTTCTTTGCATGTAAATATGAAATATGAATCTTACCCCTAAAAGGAAAAAACAACTGGTAAAGAATTTTCTTTAAGAAAGAAGCTTGTTTCTATTAAAGATAAAGCTTCAACTAATGTAAGAAACAAACCAGCACTTCTGGTCCCAGTGTTTAAAATTTCTCAGACTTCCTGTGACAATGAGTATCTGGCAGAACATAGGGGAAATTGCTTTAAAAGATGGAGAGGAAGCATAATAGCTAATGCTTACTGAAAATTTACTGTAGCAGGCACCATGCTAGGTAACTGGTATATATTTAAGTTTTTAGGAAATGTAACCTTAATATATTAAGGTTGATAATCTTAACTGCTTTAAAGTATTATAGATGAAAGTTCTTATTTCCTTAAATTATATATTTCAAAACTGAAAAAAGATACATCCTCAAATGTTTAATTCTGATTATTCATTTTAACATCATTTTATCATTTTTTCTTTGACACTGACCTCTTACCTTAAGTGATACAAAGCAATGATGCCTTTGCCTGTGATATTCCCACATGAAATTATTTCCATTTCCAACAGGCTTTTTTGCAAATTTTCAAATTGACTAAGCCTCTCCAAACAGTCATCCTCAATATAGTGACACTTGCACAGCCTTATTTTTTCAACATGCTGCAGGCCCGCTGGAAGAAAAAGTACAGTTTAAGAGCCTACATTACCATGACGATCACCAACTGTCTTAGTTTATCTGGGACTATTCTGGCTTTAGAATGAAAGTCCAAAGGCACGAGAAACCTCTCAGTCCAAGGAACACTGAAACACTTAGTCACCCTGTTACAAGATATTCACTATACAGGTTGTGCTAGTGATGGACAGCACCATCCTGCAGTCAGAGGTGCATGCACTGGAGGAGAGAGAGGCCCACACAAGTAGGAGCCGTGTGAACATAATTATCCCCACATTACTGAAGGTCTCCATGGCAAATATAGTTTGACAAACAAAACCTTGATTTTAATTCTAAATCACAGAGTAATGGTATGTGTAGATTCAAGCTTTGTGATGAGAGGAAGATGTCTGGAAACTCGACCTCATTTAAAAATAAGTATCATACACAAGAAACAAGTCAGACTGCACTGCAAAGGGCATCACACACACTGGTATGGCTACAAGAAGGAGTCAACGGCCACAAAACGTCACGGCAAATCATCTGAATTTCCCCTAAGCAAACGATAAGCTGGTTACCTAAGTAATCAAATCCAATGCTCATGATACAGGAGTCAGTGGCATCGATAGCCTGAATCTTGTATTTGTCCAGAGGGCCTGTGGGGAGGCTGTTGTAGTCCTTCTGCCACCTCTGCTGGCCGTGGTAGCGCACCATGGCCCCGCAACGCAGCAGCCACTCAGAGGCTGCCCGGTCCGGGCCTGCGTCCCGGATGCGTTCATAATCTACTCTGTGGGCAAAAGGAAAAGAAAAGTCATTAGCCTCTTAACTATAGCCACCAAAATAACTACACAATAGCAACAACTTTTCATTCCAAGTGACTGAACAGGAAGATACGTTTAGTGAGAGCCATGTTAAAAAAACAACATATCGGCCCTCCCTGGTGGCGCAGCGGGTTAAAGCACAGCACTGAGAATCTGGGGCCGCTTCCGCATGAGTTCGATTCCCGCCTGCCCCGGAGGTGACCACGTGGCGTGGCGGACCTCTCCTGACCCGCCCGCTGCTCCCCTCAGCGGTGTGCTTAGTCGATCTGCCTGTTCTGCTCCCCACTCTGTCTCTGGTGAATCCTCTCACCCTCCGCATCTCTGGCCTGTACCCCAGTTCTGTATGAATAAATAAATCTTAAAAAAAAAAAAAATCTTTAAAAAAAAAAAAAAACATATCATGGCTCTACCTTTTTGCTTTTTTGTTTCCATGTCAACTGTCAAGCCCATTATTTTTGAGTTCCGACAGACATCTTCACTAGTAATTTGTATGTAGCACAGTGCTTGACTCCCAGAGCTATTTAGGAACTATGTATGAATGAGTGACTGTACATGGTTATCATTTTGATAATGATGGAAAGTTTTGAACCTATGTTCAAATTAATAGCATTGAGTGATATAAATTAATTTCTACATATACACCTTTTTTACTAAAGGTCAGAGATGTTAGTGCTATACTAAAAAATGAGATGCTTCTTATCAGTTTCAAAGGATTATTTCTAAGCACGTACACACTAATGTTTTACATACTTGAGTTTCCTTGATTGTATTTAAAAGGATAACTATATTCCTTAAGAAGCTATAGAATAAACTTTTCTAAAAGGACATTTCCTGAGTTTTTCTGATTATGAAATAGTGTTGATCTTAGAAATTCCAAAAAGACACAAGAAAAATTGCTGAAACCCTGCAATTCAAATAGGCAATTAATATTTCATAAATCTATTTTGGGTTTTTACATAAATTGTGTGTTTTTAACCAAAAGATCCACACAAAAAGTACTATTTCTGAAATACAATAACAAAATTAGCTACAGTGAATTCAGCTAGCTACAACAACCCCCATATTCCTACCCACTAGTTTAGAATAACTTACTTATTAAACACTGCATTTAACCAACCCCAGATGTAACGGGAGTCACATGACCATGGGAGTTTCTTTAAGCCACACAACTTCTGGGAAGTTTTTCTAAGCAGCATCATTTGATCTAAACACAGAAAAAAAAAATTCACATTAGATGATCAGCTAGCAATCAAGTCCCATGCTCCCCGAAGTCAATGCTCTTGATCTGTGCTGATGCCTCCGTTGCTACTCGAAAGTTATTGAAGAAGTCACTGCCTTCACTGGTTAGCAGTTTTGTTTGCTTTTTTGCCAAAACGAAACACACAGGCTGGATTGGATAGTCTCTAAATTTCCCTTCAGCCTTGACTTTAAATTCCTTTGTGCAAATAAGAAGTTAGCCTGAGTGCTGCCACCTCGTGTCCATTCGGGCGGTGCACCTACAATTTGCTGAAATCAGCTACACTTATAATGGACATACCCAGAATCAAAATAACAAACTAAAATCTAATCTGGAAGGGAGAGGAGACACGAAGACAAATCTTTCTAATACAAGCCTGTAAGGAGTATCACCAGAAAGGGGCAAACAAAGAACTGTGCAAACACAGCTGGGAAAGACTTGGCAAGTAACTTCACCTCTCTGACCACTGGCTTTCTCATTTATAAGATGATTTGCTCAGGTGAAGTCCAGCTATAAGAATCTGTAACTATGAGTTGGAAAGCTAAGTCTCAACTGGCTTGATCTTATTTATTTCAATTCACATTTATCTAGTAGTGTGCCAGGTAGGATGAAAACAAAGAACTAAAATATGGTCTCTGGCTGTAAGGACCACTTACTACAGGGCAGAGTAAGTTAAAGCAAGTTGGTGAGTAGTTAAAATAGATGATAAGACCTGGAAAATATCTCAAAGGGTTAAATAAGGACAGACTAGATTTCAACGAAGATGACAGGCAAGGTGCCAGGTGATTAGTTGAGGCAGGAATGTTTAAGGTCTGTTGTAGTTCAGTTTCGTTAGCCCACAGGGGTCAGGAGGAAGTACTCAACTTGTACAGTTATATCAGGATGGGGCCCAGCATGATCAGACAGGGGATTTGGACAATCTTCAAATAAATGGAAGTCACGGAGGTGTTAGCATAGATCACTGACACTCTTAGAGTTATGCTTCAGGGGTATTATTCAGAACACCATCAAAACTGAAGGTTAACAGAACTGGACAGAGAGACAGTCAAAAAGAGCTTTAGGCCCTCCCTGGTGGCGCAGCGGGTTAAAGCACAGCACTGAGAATATAAAGCCGCTTCCACATGAGTTCGATTCCCGCCTGCCCCGGAGATGACCACATGGCACGGCAGGCCTCTCCTGACCTGCCCGCTGCTCCCCTCAGCAGTGTACTTCGTCGATCTGCCTGTTCTGTTCCCCACTCTGTCTCTGGTGAAGCCTCTCGCCGCCCCTGAGCCTCTGACCTGTACCCCAGTTCTGTATGCACAAATAAATAAATCTTTAAAAAAAAAAAAAAAAGAGCTTTAACTTCATGTGGCCATAGGAAAGAGAGCCACGAGGAGAGACTGGGAAGGATCACATCATCATTTGATGAAGGATCATCAAATGAGATGCTGGAGCAAAGGCCAGAAGAATTGAAGATGACACCACGTTTTTGTCCCCAGTCAACTGATAGGATGGTGATGCCATTAACAGAAAACAAAGTCAAGAGGACAGGATTAAGTTGTCCCCCCACCTGCCCCCCAGTTTTTCATATCCTAAATATGAAGTTTAGCAGAGCTTCTATATAGAAATGGTCAATGAATATCAGAATCAGTCACAAAATGCTAAAGCTGGAGAAAATGCAGACCACCCAGACCTCTCATTTAGAGATGAGGAAACAGAAGTGGTGATCTTAAACAACTTGTCAGCCTAAACCTTTCTGGAGCAGGGTGGAGTATTAATAAATGCATGTATTTGAAAGGACTTGCCCAATGTTCCATGGCTAATTGATGGCAGCTCTGAAACTGGAACCTATTTCTCTCTTGTCAGTTTAGGGCTCTCTATAGTCTTTGTGTTGCTCTAACATTCAGGAAGAAGACTAGAAAGAGGCCTGGGACTCCCTTAGAGTTGAGGAAGTGACTAAGGAAGACGGTTGTGAAACAGTGAGAGATGCTGGGATCACCAGCCCCCTTCAACAATGTCCCAACATCAACATTCCCTATCTTCACTGCTGCAAACCACTCCAGATGCTGCTTCTCTCATGTTCGTCCCTTCCAGCTTTTTGTTTAAAAAACAAAAACAAACAAAAAAAAAAACACAGCTCCTTCCATTCACGCTCACTTCTAATAACTTCACTAGTTGCCAACCTCGTTGACAAACCTGGGATTTCCAACTTTAATTCAGGCCTTTCCACCCCCTCTGCCCCACACAACCTTGTTTGCAGAAAGTTATCTCCATTAACTTCTTTATACACTTAATATTTTTTCATTTTATTTCTATATTTCTATATTCTTGTTCATTTTTGTACAGTGCTTGAATGCTCCTCTCGGCTATTGTCCCCATAAAATTACCACCACCAAGAAATACATGATCCATCACCCTGGATGGACTCCTGTGTTCTTCCCTTCCATTTTGATTCTTTTCCCTTGCCTTTCCCTGCTGAATGTCTCCAACTTACAGTTTCCTGCTAGTTTTGTCTTTTTTTTTCCTGATCCTTTATCTGGTTTCCATATGTTCTTCCTAGAAGTGAAACCATCCTATAATTTTATTTTTCCTTCTTAGTTCACTGAGCATAATCCCTTCTAGCTCCATCCATGTTGCTGTGAATGGCATATTTATCTTTTTGATTACTGAGTAGTATTATATTGCATATGTATCAAACATTATTTGGCAATATAGTTTGAGAAAGTGTGATTTTGCAAATTTGACTTTAGGCATTTCAGAAAAACTCAAAGCAGCTACCTGGGAATGCTTTCTATAGGGAAAGAGGAGACCTCTAGTGGTGAGTTAGTGAATTTAGCACTAATGAATTAAATGAAACCGGTTAAAAGCAAGTTAGAAAACAGCCACTACTATATTACTATGGCTTCTAAAAGTTGAAATTATGTTTGTGACTTAAGAGTCAAGACTTCTAATGTGGGACTCAAAACAGCATATATACAGTGTTTCTGGGTAGGCTTCACTGAAAGTTCCTGTTTCCATAAAAACAAAGTTTATTCTAGCGCTGAAGTTCTATTTTTAACCTAGTAAATGTGAGTATTTTAGTGGACTATTCATAGAGATAGCTAAAAAATTAAACAAATCTCAAATTTTTTGAGGGTGGTAAAATTATGGCAAGAGGGGTGGGGGAGTATCAGAATTGGAATTTTTCCCAAATTACAACCTCATCTCATTGCAAATCATGCATTGTTGATGCCTACTGTTATTTCTGAGGTGAGATAGAACAGAGCAGTGAGAAACAGGAAGCAAAGGTCCCAAAAGTTACTTCTAGGCCAACATCATATGTGGCACTCATTGACTTACAGGTGAAGAAGAATTCTCAGCCGCAGGAGGGAGGTGTCAGGAATACAAGTATCTGGAGCCAAAGACATGTAAAGTGAGCTCTTACTTTGAAATTACCTGACTGAAATAATGCATTGCTAATTCCAGGGGAGAGGTTAAGGAAAGAAATTTTTACTTAAAGAGAAGAGTATTAGCAATTCTTTTACCTCACTAAATTAAGGTCATACTCAAAAGCACAAAGTAGAAAGTCACTACTACAGGCCCAGCTGGCCACCATAAAGACTCTCAAACTGTGTAACTCATATTTAATCTAGTAACTAGTCAACTCTGTCCTGTGAAAGCTAAAAAATAATCATCTCAACTATAAACCTATCATAATGGTTAAAAAAAAATACTGTTAACACTAAATACTGTGACAATCAGTAAATTGTTCAAACATTGCTGGTGGGAATGTAAAATGGTCCAGCCACTTTGAAAAATTTCTTGCAAAACTAAACATGTTTATCATATAATCAAGCAACTGGACTCTTGATCATTTATCCCAGATAATAAACACAGGTTCACACAAAGAGTGTATACCATTCAAATCAGCTTTATTCAAAATAGCTGAAAACTGGCAACAATTCAGAAGTTCTTTGATGGACAATGGTTAAACATACAATGGTATCTCCACACCATTGCTACTCAGCAATAAAAAAAAAAGGACTTTGGATATGTGCTGCAATTTGGATTGCTCTCAGGGATTACAGTGAGTGGAAAAAAGGCAACTCCATAAATACTGAATAACCCCACTTACATCATATTCTTGAAACGATTAAAGTTTAAAAAGTAAAAATAGATTTGGGAATGGGGTGCCCTGAAGGTAAGAGTGTAGTTATAAAAGGGCAACCAACGTGATCCACGTGGTGATGGAACTGTGCTGCAGTTGACTGGTGACTATAAGATCTACACGGTGATAAAAATTGTATAGCCTCTAATCACACACATAGAACTGAAGAAATCAAAATAATATCGTGGGTTGTACTAATGTCAATTTCCTGGATATTGTACTCATACTGCTATGACATTGTTTTACAAGATCTTATCACTGGGGGAGGCTGGGCATGATACACAGGAGCTCCTTCTTACAACTACATGGGACTGAAATTGTCTCAAAAATTTTTTTTAAAAAAGTATCTTTTTAACTTTTACAATTGTGATTTAACAAGCAGGTAACGTTCTAAATTGACCCCCCATAAAGCAAAGTATCTGCAGTTGTCCAGGCAGTAAAACCACTTGAACATAATAAAAGCCCTCACGATGTCTTTTGCTCACCTAAACACCTAAAGAGCTTCAGCTCAGGAAATCATCAAAAAAGTTCTAAAAGGCGGCCACAATAACACTTCCAGGTTTATACAGGGTCTGAGGCAAGCCATAATTGGAACGGAATTCAAATAGGCAAGTCCTTACCCATAATTAGAACATAAGTCAAATAGGCAGGTCCTCCCAGCAATCAAACTTTGTCATTTTATTCTTTTCCTGCCCTTAAAAATGATAAACTATGGTCAAACGGGTGCGGCGGTAAACACATGCTTTTACAGGATTAGGTCTTGTGGAGATCGTAGGTCAGGACATAGGGGTAAAGCGACGTGCACGGGTATCTCGCTGTCCCCAGGCCTGCACGGCATACTTAAAGCTGTAACTCGGACCAGAACTTTAAGTAAAGGAAACAGATTCCTAAATTCTGGCTCATCTCAGCGCTAGATGACTCAACGAGCCACCACCAGGAGCCCGCGAAGAAGTCCAGACTGCAGGCAGGCCGTCGGGCGTGGTCGCCTCACGAGCTCGGGTCGGAAGCGAGGGTAGGGCAGGATGTGCGGTCACCCTGTGGAGGGACAGTGACAGCACCGGGCGGGGCCCCGGCTGGAGTCCACAGGTGCCACCCCCGACCCAAGCCGACGAGGGAGGGGCCGGGCGAGCCGGCTGGGGCGGGGGCGGGGCCGACCGAGGGGCGGGGCAGCCGTTGGACCCAACAGTCCTAACGTTTACCGTGATCACGCCCTAAATCGGCGTGAAGGTCGGAGACGCGCGTCTCGGAGGGCCGGGTTTTCAGTCAGGCCAGTTAGGTAGAAAGTAAGGGGCAGAGCATAACCGCCCCACAAGTCCCGCCCCGCTCGGGGCCTGGCACCTCTACTCACAGCGTCCGAGACCGGACCCCACGCGTGTCTCCCGCGTCAGCGGCGGCGCCGGCTGGCGGTAGCCTCCGTTGCGAGCGTCCATTGGCCACAGGAGTTCCCACGTGGGGCGGTGGCGCGCGCCTCATTGGTCGCCGTGTGGGAGGCGGGGCTAGAGCTCACCCGGATCCAGACTCCGGGGGCTGCTTCTTGGGTTGCGATACCGGGAGGGGGCGCAGAGATGCTGTCTGTGGTGCGTTACCTGGGCAGTGCCTGCGGACGGGCCCTCGGGGGCTTCCCCGGGGGCTTTGCGGCGAGTAGGCCCGCGGCGGGGAGGCCCAGGTCTCTGTGCCAAGGTAGCCGAAGAGCCAGCACCAGGTGAGTAGCCGCTGGCCCGCTTGCGCTGCTGCTTTTCTTCTGGGTGCCTCGTGCTGAACCTATGTCCTTGCTCTCCTCACCTGTCTTGGGCATGAGTGAAGGTTGCTATCCTGTGAAGCCCAAACCCCAACATCAATCCTTGGAGCTACCTGCTGGAGGCTGCATTTGTGAGGGGAGTTAATGAGAAAGGCTGTGTTGAGCAGAGGTCAAGTGCATTTCTAGATTTGGTTCAACCCCTTCACGTCTCCTATGCTCCTTAAAGGCTCAGTTTGTTAATAGGATCCTAGGTGGTCGTTTTAAAGGTCCTAGCACACGGTAAGCTATCAAATGTGCTGTTTATTAAGTGGCATTCCTGTTGTATCGCGGAAGATCTGAAACCGGTCTTAAATCAATCAGTTTCTGGCACACACAGCATAAAGTTGCTCCTGTAGTCAAATCCTGCAGAATTCAGGGGCCTGGGATTTACAGCTAGAGGGCCTATTCGAAACCCCTCTCTTTTCTGTAGGGGGGAATGGTTTTTGCAAAAATTTCAAAACTGAAAAGTTTTTGGCTATTTTGAAGGTGTGCAATTAGTGTGACTGATGCTTGGCTCAACCGAGATGGTGGAATGACATCTGAGAGACTACATCACGGGGCTCTTATTTTAATTTAGCTACTCATTGTTTTTTATTGAAAGAGTGTTGGGGAGGTGTGTTTAAAGGTTTTTTTTTTTTTTTTTAAAGAAGACTGGTCCCAGTTTAGGGCTGTTACGACTAAAACTGCTATGAGCATATGAACAGATTTTTGTATGAACATTCAATTCTCTGTAATAAATGCCCAAGAGTGCAGTTGCTAAGATGTGTGGTAAGGATGTGCTTAGTGTTTTTAAAAACTGCCATGCTTTCTCCAGACATTACATTTCCACCACCAATGTATAAGTGATCCACTTTCTCCTCATCCTCACTAGCATTTCATGTTAATTACTTTTTAATTTTAATCATTCTTAAAGGGGTGTAGTGATCTCTTTGTAGTTTTAATTTACAACTCTCTGATGACAAGTGGCGGAGCATTTTTTTCACGTACTTACTTGCTATCTATATGTCTGTTTTCTTTGATATAATGATTGTTCATATTTTTGTTCATTTTCTAAATTGCTTATTTGTTTTGAAATTCTTTATATAGTCTAGTTAGGATCTTTTTGTTGGATATATGGTTTGCAAGTATTTTTTTTCAATTAGTTGGTTCTCTTCTTATCTGTTTAATGGGGTCTTTAACAGAGCAAAGTTTTAAACTTTGAAGTCCAGTTTATCAGTTTTTTTTTATATGGGTCAGACCTTTAATATTAACTCTTTACCCAGTCCTAGATGCTGAAGATTTTTTCCCAGTGTTTTCTTCTCAAAAGTTTATACCAGATATTTGGTGATATAAAATATATTGTTAATACTTTTAGTTTAATAATAGTATTGTGTATAAACTTTAAGCAGTAACATTAAAATCTTTACAGATGATATTTAGGATTTGCATCAAAATATTATACAGGAGGGGGTGAAATAGGTGGGGTGTAGAAGCAACAAGATTTGCTATGTTCCTATAAAGCAAATTTGTTGACTATGAAGTCAGTGTTAGAGGTAATCTTTTAAGTACCTCACTGCAGAATTAAGACTATTATACATGCCTAATTAATAATTTTTGAAATGATTGTATATCAGAATTTATCTTGTCTGCTGAGTTTAGTGTACTCATTGACTGTTTCCTTCTCAACAACAACAAATTATGAATTATTACACACTAAGGCATTCAGGACTTAACATGTTTGCTTATTCTCAGGAATACTGTACTTGAATCTTAAAAGATGTGTTAATGATGAGTGGGATTCTTAACACAGTAATTACTGATTTAGTCAGCTTGGATAGCTAGCCACTCTGGCTGCTGAGGGTGCTCATTATACTACTGACCAGCAGTACATGTTACTTTTTTTTTTAAGACTTATTTATTTATGCATACAAAAACTAGGATGCAGGCCAAAGGCGCAGGGGGTTGTCTACAAGGGGTTGTCTACAAGAGACAGAGTTGGGAGCAGAACAGGTGAATCTACTGAAATGCACTGCTGGGGGAAGCAGCCGTAGAGCGGTGGGCTACCGCCCTGGCTGGCTGTTGAACTGCTGCAGTCCCTCTGTCTGCCAATAGCTTGACAGTGTCTTTAGCCCCTGCACCAGCAGGGAGGCCCAGTACATGTTACTTTTATTAAAGTTTTCTTCATGAGTGTGAAACCAACTAGTGTGAGTTCAATAAATATTTGATTTTATTGATTGCAAATTGGTAATTTAGTTGTCCTTTGATGGTGTGCATTATGCATGTGAGTTTGATCCGGTCTGTTGTAAACATGCATTATTTTAAAGGTGACTTTCTCTTCAAGCTCATTTGATATAGTCATTATTGGTGGCGGAATTGTGGGTCTTGCCTCTGCCAGAGCACTCATTCTGCAACATCCGACACTTTCCATTGGTGTTCTGGAAAAAGAGAAAGATTTAGGTATGTATGTTATCAGTGTTGTCCTTTGGACTTAACCGGAGCACCTGCTCATTTCGTCAGTTCTACATCTTTCATGCTGAATATTGATGTTAGTATCCTACTTTGGTTTTTCCAGAAAGCAGAACCTAGGCTTGAACTTGGGTACAACTGATTTACTGAGAGGTAAATTTATCTGAAGCAGAAGTGAGGTGAAGGGGAGAAGAAACATGGAAGGAATCTTGAGGTCATTTGCTGGCAGCGAGAGTTTAGCTTGTACACCGAGTTGTAACTGAAATTAGAAGTGGGCTGGAGGGATGTGATATAGATACCAGGGGAGGCTGCCAAAGGAAATGACCACTGCTCTGACTGTAAGAACAAACTCAAGCAGAATTTAGCTAATGTGATCTCTAATAGCATCAACTACTATATTTGTTCCTCCTATCCTTAGGTGTTAGATGACTCAAATACTTTTTAAAATCTTTTTTGCCTTTTTCTGTAGCTGTTCACCAGACTGGACATAATAGTGGTGTCATACATAGTGGGATATATTATAAACCTGGATCTCTGAAAGCTAAATTGTGTGTGCAAGGTGCAGCCCTCATCTATGAGTATTGTAACCAAAAGGGAATTCCCTACAAGCAATGTGGCAAGGTATGATATTTTATTAGGTCTTATAGGACTTATTTTATCATTTTAAAAAAGATTTATTTATTTATGCTTATAGAATGGGGGTACAGGCCAGAAGTGTGGTGGGTGAGAAGATTCATCAGACACAGAGTGGGGAGCAGAAAAGGCAGATTGACAAAGTACACTGCTGAAGGGAACAGAGGGCGGGTCAGGAGAGGTCTGTCGCACCATGTGGGTCAGCTCCCTGGCAGGGATTGAGCTTATGCTGCAATGGCTTCGGAGAGCTTCATAATGTGGTGCTTTAATCTGTTGCACCACCAGGGAGAGCCTATTTTATCATTTTTTAATGATGCTTAATGTTGAATTAAAAAAGAGCTCATCTTTTCACTGTATTATATAATTTGCAAGTCTAATACTAAAGAATAACTTTTACAAGATGGTGTGATTAACTGTAATTTTTAAAGTAACAGTTTTCTTGATATATAATTTGTAATTATAATTCACAGAATTGTGCAACTATCATGACTATCTAATTTTGGAACATTTCATCACTTCAGAAGGATACACCATACCCATTAATAGTCATTTCCTATCACTTCTCTATGTAATTTTAAAGAATATAAAGTTCATTGTTTTAAAGCATCTTTTAAAGATGCTGTAATTTTTTAAATGAAGTGAGAAAATGGTATTGAATTATAATAATTCTTAATCAAGTCTAGATACTAGATCCTTAGTGGGTATATGACTAATAAATATTTCTTCCTTTATGTAGATTTTTTTCATTTTCCTGATCATGTCTTTTGATTCCACTTCTGTCCTTAATGTTATTTGTGAATTTAAATAACCTAATAATGATTAGCATCACCTCATTAAGCTCTGGTAACCTTGCTATGAAGTAGTGATCTGTGAATTCTGATCTACCTGTGACCGTGCTTCTGTGCTCTCCTTTGCTGGTAACTGTTTAGTGCTAAAGAAGAAACAATCTCAAGCAGATACTTTGCCCAGAAATAAATAGAAAAATAGATTGGAGTAAAATTTTTCTTACTATTTTTTTCCTCAGGGCCCTCCCTGGTGGTGCAGTGTGTTGGAGCCCTGCACTATTTTATTTTCTCTACAAGAGAATACATTCAATACTTTGTAATATGTTTTATTATGGGAAGTAAAATGGTTATCTTTTTCTGTTAATGATATTGTTTTATACTAAATACTGATTTTCTAATGTACTTTCACATACTCGTTAGTCTAGGTAGGTTTTCTGTTTGGATTTTTTTTTTTAAACACATGAAGACTAAGTAACTTGTGTTTCTCTCCTTACTAGGGTTGAGGGGGTGGGTGATAATGGTAAGGATTGCTTCTGGCAAAGGGGCATATAGGGTCTGTGACAGCAGAAATGGAAATTGAGGACCTTTGGGAAAAACTTACCTTAGTGCAGTTTTCTTAAGATAAATTTTTTTTATGGTGGGAGAAAAAAAATTGCTTATGAAGAAAGGGGGAAAATTTTTTTTTAATCAACCCAATTTGAGTTGTGCAATAATTTATGATTTTATATTGATAATCTTTTGTAGCTTTTTTATCTTTTATAGCTGATGATAGGTTCAATTCTTTCCATATTCTTTTTTTTTCTATTAAGCTTATAGTAGCTGTTAAACAAGAAGAAATTCCTAGGCTTCAGGCTCTGTATGAGAGAGGCCTGCAGAATAGTGTCCAGGGCCTGAAGCTGATCCAGTCAGAGGATATAAAAAAGAAGGAGCCATATTGTAGGGTAAGTGATTTACTGACTGCATGTATATATTTATAGGGGCATTTTTATTTAGGGCTCAGGCCTGTTGCATAGAAGCTGAGGGTGAGGTTATAGAAAGTAAGCATCATATAGATTCAGATAATCCTGTCACAGACAGTGAAGCATTAGGCATAAGGGTGTATTGCCACACACACTTAATACTTGGTTTCCTCTTTCCCAGTGAGAAAATACCAAGTCCAAATAAACGAAGACAAGAGAAAATCTTGAGCCCATATGGCTTGTTTGGAAAGCACTCAGTGGTGAATGGTGAAGTATGGTATGTTGGGAGAAATAATAGGTAAGACTAGAAAGGCAGAATTAGGCCTGCAGAGAGGGTCTGACTTTATTAGTTTACCCACTGAAAATTATTTGGGAAAGTAGCAACAATGTCTAGTCTGTATTTCATATGTACCAGATAAAAGTGGTTTGAATGCAAAGGTTCGATTGTAGAATATATTGCTTAAAATATGCTTTTCTTCCTAAAAGTGATGTGAATGATCATGTAGCAGTTAGCTGTGCATGTTGACTTTCTCTGGTAGCCTTTCAGAGGCAATCAGTTCAACCTCAGTTCCAGTGGCTGCTGTAATGCAGAACTATCTCCCCCATTCTCTCACTGTCTGTGGACATTTTGTAACAACTGGCTTTCAGGTAGTGATCTTGAACTTACTACCAGGCAATGCTTATCAGAAGTTTAGTTAGAAGTCCTCCTTATGAGACATAGCCTTGTGGGAATAGAATTGATGGTTCAACCTTTTACCTCTCTGCAGTGTGGCACTTCTGCACGTCAGTGTTTTGCTTCCCCGTCTCACTCCTTGACTCCCAATTGCTCTCTGAGCTGTACTTCAATTTTATGACATCAGCCTATGGAGAAGGTCACTGTGTCACTCACTGAGGCTTATACTGTAAGGATGTGGTCAGGGCATAGGTTGTTCACTGCTATATAATATCTTGCTCTGAGAATATGCAGAGAAATTTCAGAGAATCATTCTGTTCTGAGAAAAAGAACAGAGTTCTGAGAATAATTTTGTTCTTCCTAAGAATGACACAGTGAATCATCAACTGACCATGTTGTCCTGTTTACCTTGACTTTAAGGAAGTCTGGAGATGTTTTTGTGCCCCACATCTATTGGACATCCACGGCCTTAAATGACAGTTTAACTTTTATGTACTAATTACCCTCTTCATTTCATTTTGTCTTTCTACTCTCGTTTTTTATCTACACAACAGAAATCATAGATGTTTTGATGAATTTCATGAAGTATGACCAGTATCCAGAATCACCAACCTAATGTGACTAGCCTCTTGGCACTCTCCTCATCCCTCCTGCTCCTCACAGCTTTTTCTCACCATCCCCCACCACCACCACCCAACCCCCAGACCTCTGGCCTACCCATCAGCTCTCAGCATAATAAATAAAATCTTAAATTTTTTTTTTTTTACATCTTTACAATTGAGCCTTCCAATTCAGGAGCACCATCTATCTCTCCATTTATCTGGATCTTTAATTTATTGCAAAAATGTATTATATTTTTCACTGTTGAGGTCTTGTAAGTCTCATAGGTTGGTTTCTAGGCATTTGATGTATTTTGATACTCTTGTATGGGGTACTGTTTTACTAAGTTTATTTTCATCAAGTATGCATAAATATCTGATTGGTGTTTGACCTCACATCTATCCTGGTTGTTAAATTCTCTTGATTCTAGAAGTTTGTAAGTTCTCTTGGATTTTCTGCATACAGTCAGGTGTCTTCAAATAATAACTATTTTATTCCTTCCTTTCCAATTCATGTTGTTGGTTGGCTCAATGTTTAATGCTAATATGTTTTATTTTGTATGTAGGTTTTATTTTTTTTGTAAGCTGCCTCATATCCCTTTTGCAAAAACAAACAAAAAACCCCCAGCATTATGAATAATCCATGTAGAGGCTGTCTTACTTCAGACTGCTGTAACAAAGTACCTTAAACTAGGTAATTTATAAATGGAAAACATTTGCTACTTGCATTTCTGAAGGCTGAATGTCTGAGGTCAAGGATGTGGCAGATTTGATATCCTGTGAAGATCCATTGCAGGTTCATAGACAACCACATGGCAAAAGGGGTGAGGGAGCTCTTTGTAGTCTCATTTTTTTTTAAAATTTATTTATTTGTACATACAGAACTGGGGTACAGGCCAGAGGCTCAGGGGCGGTGAGAGGCTTCACCAGAGACAGAGTGGGGAGCAGAAAAGGCAGACGAAGTACACTGCTGAGGGGAGCAGCGGGCGGGTCAGGAGAGGTCTGCCTCGCCATGTGGTCTCCTCCGGGGCAGGCGGGATTTGAACTCATGCGGAAGTGGCTTTAGCTTCTCAGTGCAGTGCTTTAACCCGCTGTGCCACCAGGGAGGGCCTGTAGTCTCATTTTTAAAGGCACTAATCTCATTCATGAAGAATATCCATATCATTTTTCAAAGACTTCATCTCTAAATGTCTTTCAACGTATGAATTTTAGGGACACACAGATAATTCAGTTTATAGCAGAACTAGTTGTTTAAATTGATGCCATACTTCAAGGAACAAAATACTTGTATTAAAATAAAGAGATTAGGAGGCTGTAAGTATTTGGGGATGGAACATACATAGGAAATCCCTGTAGTTTCTGCTTAATTTTGCTGTGAAAGTTGTTCTAAAAAATTACGGTCCACTAAACAGCAGTAAATCCATTTGCCACCTCTTATCTTCACATGGCCTTTAAAAAAACTATTGAGTACTGAAATGCACTGAAAATGCACTAAGCCTGTGCTTGTTTTATAGTTTTAATGGAATTCAGCTGGGAAACTAAGATTTCAAAATCTTACTGATCTATTGCTAGTATTATGATATTTGAAAACAAAACAAGTTATAACATTAAAAAGTGATGCTAATTGTTAACACATATTACAATTTTATTTACTAATGAAAACTTAGATTAGTTTTGAAATTTGGTGCAAAAAAAAAAAAAAAAAAAAAGAGGGACAGGCTATTGGTGCTCCGACCACACTGTAGGCTGGTTATGGTGTGAAAACAATTTTAATTATGATGTTTGAAAAACAAACAGACCAACTTTTCATACCTACTGAGTATACGGATGAGTCTGCATGCTTTTCTCTACACCTAATCATGTGAGTTTCTCAGGTTGCATAGTGAGGCAGATTAGGTATGTGGACATACATAGTCAAATTATGTATCTTCATATATTTTTGTGTCTTATAAAGGAAGAAACTGGTTAAGTTACTTTCCCTGGATCACACAGCTCCTAAAGAGTCTCCCACCTGATTCTGATGGAGAGCTGGTATTTTTTCTGTTCATTTCATTTTTTTCTTACCATAAGGCAACCCCTATGTTAGGACTGCTCATCAACCCAAAGGAAGTTAGAGTGTAATCAAAGATTTAATTTTAGTACAGTGATAAGTATTCAAGTAGAACTAATACTCTGTGTTGTACCAATATAAGGGAGCACTTGTAGCTTAGACTGAGTTTAGGAAAGACTCCTCAGAGAGAACAACACTTGAGTAAGTAGTGTAAGAAGAGGTGTATCCAGCATTTCCCAGACACCTCCACAGAAATGACCTACTTTATATAATGTCAGCTTGTAATAATCAATGCCTAGATGTATTTAAGAGTGGCAAAATATCATGGAACCATGTAGTCTGATTTTCATAAAAGGTGTCTTGATGAAATGTTTCCCTTCTCCCCTGATCTGACCACCACTAGTAGGAATGATGGGCAAAGTTTCCATAGTACAGTCACTTCTCTTTCTGCCAAGCCCTCTAGAAAGTTTTTAGAAGAGTTTTTTAGGGCAGCTTTAATGGGCTTCTTGGACCAGGTCACTTTACGAAGAAGCCTAAAATGCTACCCTCAGGGGGAGCATTTGGGAAATCTTAAACTGCCTCTAAACTTTGACTTGGAAGATAGCTCTGGACAGCTCTCTTTCTGGCATATCCTGCTTCTTCTTTCTTTACCTGGGCTGATCTACCTTTTCCTCAACCATTGGTCAACCAGATGTTTATCTGTTCATTTGTCATCCAGTTCACCTATTCTCCTGAGTGATTTCCAATTCCCTACTTACCCTTTTCCTGATTGCCTGGTTCCTTTCCAGCCACCCCAGCTGCTATGACCTCAAATCTCAAGCTTTCATCTGCTTAACCTGGACAGTGCATGCCTAGCCTTCTGGGTAATAGATACTGCCAGCCTGTCAGCTAACCCCAATTTGGGTTGAGCATTGTAGTGATTGGCACTCTACCTTCCCTCTTACTGACATGTATATGTCGGGCCATACCAGCATATAATGGGAAAGGGCAAATCTAAGACTACAAAAGGGGAAAAAATCAAGGGGCAAAGAAAAAAAATGTCTAAGGGGGAGAAAAGATCTCAAAGGCTATTTTATTCAGTAAGTTAATATTTGAGTGCCATCAGTGTGTCAGACATTGCTCTGGTTAATGAGATGAATAATAAAAGCATTTCATATTTCAAATAACCATTGATATCAAACCATTTATTTATATGAAACATTTATGTCATGCTTTTATTCTTTAATAACATATCTTTCCCCCTATGACTTGCTACACAGTTTTATGCTATGAAAGGACATTTTTGTGACTAAACTCTAGGTTTTATCGAAATTTAGCTTCCCAATTTATTGCACATAAGTTTTATTTATAGGTTGAAGTTGAATTATAGCTATTGACATATAAAGTTAGGGATTGTCAGGCAATGTGAAGTCTAATATAAAATTTTCCATGTCTCTACTGTATCAAAACAGAAGGAATAATTTCCTATACATGGCAAACATGCTCATATTCTTTTTTTTTTTTTAAGATTTCTTTATGCATACCAGAACTGGGGTACAGGCCAGAGGTGCAGGGGCAGTGAGAGGATTCACCAGAGGCAGAGTGGGGAGCAGAACAGACAGATCCACAGTACACTGCTGAGGGGAGCAGCGCGCTGGTCAGGAGAGGTCTGCGGCGCTTTGTGGTCTCGGCTGGCGGGGATCGAGCTCATGCGGAAGTGGCTTTAGCTTCTTAGTGCTGTGCTTTAACCTGCTGCGCCACCAGGGAGGGCCCACTTATATTCTTGAAGCAAGGCAGTCAAGAAGATAGTGACATTTGCTAAATATTACTTTCAGTTTGTGGGGAGATTATTGAATATTTTCTGAACCTATACCTTTAGTGTGATCTGACCATTTGGAAACATTAGTCAGGGATGAGTGGCAACGTAAAAAGCTCTTTAAGATCAAGCAGGTAAATGTATTGGGGTTGAGGTAGGGCAGTGAACATAAGAATGAAAGATTTATAATAATATTATCAATATTCCTTTAAAATTGTAATGACAGCAGTGTTGGCCAAACAAACATTTAGCTGTTGCTTTCTAGTTCTGGGCATTGTTATCCTGGAAACTATAATAAGTTACTCTCAGGGAAAATTGATTGGGAGAATTGATGTCCTCATATGTACAATAAGGCAACAGAAAATGGTGCTATTTCTGAGGCTTCATCAAAATGTAATAAATACTGAGTGTGTGAAATTATACTCCTATCCTTTTCTTCAGAATTAGGAATGCCAATGACAGTCAACATTTATTCCAAAAAATTAAATAAATATGGGTTATTCATCTACAGAATTTATACATGTGTGGAGTGACAAAAATAAAACAGTACAGCAACATAACAGTAGAAAACTCAATGTGTTAATCTTTCATATAATCTGGAGAGTTTGAGTTAACAACATAAAAATCTTCATTCAGGCCCTCCCTGGTGGCACAGCGGGTTAAAGCACAGCACTGAGAAGCTAAACCTCTTCCGCATGAGTTCAATTCCTGCCTGCCCCGGAGGTGACCACATGGCGTGGCAGACCTCTCCTGACCCGCCCGCTGCTCCCCTCAGCAGTGTACTTCGTAGATCTGCCTGTTCTGCTCCCCACTCTGTCTCTGGTGAAGCCTCTCACCACCCCTGAGCCTCTGGCCTGTACCCCAGCTCTGTGTGCACAAATAAATAAATCTTAAAAAAAAAAAATCTTCATTCAGTATTTGTAGTGTTAAAGATAGAATCTGCAGCAAATCATATCAGTGCTCTGTACATGACATATGATATACTGCTGGGAAAATCTTAGTGGCATTTATTTAAAACATAATTGGTGATAAAGAATTTGACTTATAATTACATCTAAATCCAAGTAGAATATGGTGAGGGATGAATAAAACTGAAAAGCTCACTGCAACAACTGAAAAACACTGGCAGATCCAGTTCTTTTAAGGAAGAGAATTGTTTCCTGATTATATGTTTTCCTTTACCTCATATGCATGTTATATATGTACTTGGATCAACTTCAGGTACTTAATGGGCCAAAGTTTTATTTTCCTGGAGGACTATCAGACTTTTGCCAAGAAAGGAAATTGTGTGTTACCCCCTCAAAGGAATCAGTAAAAATATGTGAACATATGCTCAATATTGAAATATATATTCAATCTATATAAGTATTAACAATACTTAATTGAATTGTTTTGACTTTTCCATAATCCTGTTCCAGGGTCTAATGGCTATTGACTGCCCATATACTGGCATTGTGGACTATCAGCAGGTGGCTTTGTCATTTGCCCAGGATTTCCAAGAAGCAGGTGGCTCTGTTTTGACTAATTTTGAAGTAGAAGGCATTGAAATGGCTAAAGAAAGTCCTTCAAGAAGTGAAGATGGTAAGCTATCCTACTTTTTCTTTTGAGTACTTGTGCTACTTTCTAAAGAAACTTGGAACTGTTTTGTGTGGGATAGAGGTGGTAGAAGCCATCCTGAGTGAGTTTAGAATAGGGCATAGAAATGGAAGCAGGTGCAGAAGGAATAAGAGATTGATTGTACCTGGGAAAAACTAAGACTTCTGGATAATTTTGAAACTTACAGAACTAGTTCCTGCTGGGATACTTCTGGTCGGTCCTAAAGACCTAAACTGCCAATGCTGTGTATGGAAAAATTAACCCCAAATATTTCCTTATTTCCAGGTTGGAGTCAGAATCCCCTGGCGATGCTTGCATTAAAAAATGCAAGCACCACTCTTTTGTACTGAGTCAGACTTGGTATAACTTACCATTCCAAACATCAACCCCTCGTTCTCCAACCCCCAACCTATCCCATACACACATACATTACAGATGACACTTAGAATTTACTTTTTTTTTTTGCTTTGGCAACTTTTTAGAAAACCAAATGAATTACTTATAGGCTATTTGCTGTTGTAGTCCACACTTTTTCAAACTTGGCATTTGAAGGAGAAAGAGTCGTGCTTAGGTCATTCTTCCCTGTAAGTTTTTAAGATCTAGACCATCTGTGTCATTCTGTCAGTGTCCTTCTAAATTCTAAAATGATGAGCAAAAACATTAAATAGTTACAATAACTAGGTAGGTAGCAAAATATAAATCAACTTTATGATATTGGTAGCTGTATTCTTTACTTGCTGTACATAAGCTTGATATGACTTTGAGACCCCATGAGTCTGCTTGGGAACTAATTATAAACTGCTGGTTTATTATTGGAAGTTTCTGTGTTGTGGTAACTTTGCTTCCTACACGCCCAGCAATCCACATGGACTCAGGTAACCAACAAGAAGTCCTACGGAAAGAAGTCCTACGGAAAGATAACATACTGATTTATGAGGATATGTTTTATATCATGGTTTTCAGGGTTGTAGTTCAGAGAAAAATTGAGACTTCCTTTGTAGGAGCTATGGTGGAGAATGGTTTACAAGAATAGATTAAATGAATTATAAGAAAATAAGCTAAAAATTATTGTCGAGTATGAGTTAGTTTAATTTTGGCAAAAAGTTTCAAAGTGAAAACTGGGTTTCAATTATGATTATGACAGAAGAAAATATTTTTTTAACTAGTATAACATTTAAAATAATTTTACTATAAATAAATCTTTCACTAATTCTTTTTTTTTCCAGGCATGAAATACCCGATTGTTATAAGGAATTCAAAGGTAAAGATTTGTAAGCAAAAGTTGTCTAATTACATCCCCTCTCCTTTCTTAAAAAGTTGAGTTAACCATAGTGCTACGTTTTATGGCCTTGAATGAAATTGATCTAATATAAAAGTTATTCTGAGAGAAATTGTTCGAGTGTATCACAATAGCTTTCATTCCAAGAAATGTCTTCATAAAGTGATTGCACCAGTGAAGAGTAGGGTTATAACCACTTAGAGAAATTCATTTTAAGACAAAACAACTGATAGACCTTTTAATGTTCTGCCTACTTATCTGCATTGACCTGTTAACTCTCTGCCAGTTAGAAGACTTAGGGAAGGGGCAGGTTATGCAGAAAAGGGGTGCTTTCCTTCATCTTCACATAGTCTAAAATAAGAACTGTGAAATGACACAGAAGCATTGAATCAACTGAGTTCAGTCATGGGAGGAGAGTATTAATGAGTTTGTAGGATTTATAATAGGAAGTAGGTCTTACACAACTGGAGAAGCAAAGGTTCAGAAGGGGAGTTGTTAACATCGCCAAACATTCTGAGAAACCACACCTGTTCAGCTGCTGAAGTGGGACTGTAAACAAAACATTCATAAGGGGAGTGCTTGCTTCTGTCTCTACTCAGGTAGTAAGCTGCTGCAGCTTTTGATCAGTAAGATCAGTAGTTGGAAAGCAGACCTGGATATGGAACTGTTATTCACTTGGCAGTGGGCGTTTGTCACCACATTGGACTAGAATGACCTTTAAAGAATAGTGTCTGCTGCTTTACTTCCTGCCAACTTGTATGTAGTTCCTGTTTTGGTAAACTTAAGTTGGAACTATACAGGGAAGGAGATGTTGTCAGGCATAATTCTCTGCTTAACCAATAAACACAGTAAAATCCCTTGTAGTCCACACTTTTTCAAACTTGGCATCTTTTATAAACACTCCTTTTAACAACAATTATCATCCAATAAAGACAATTGTAAAATTTATGTTTCTACCCACAAGATGCAACTAGCCCCCATGTAACTGAAGACTTGCTAAGTCTAGAAAAAAATAGGAAGTCCATTTTATCCATCTTTGCATGATATTAATTTCTTTTCTGAGTTATACTTTCCCTTTAAGAACTTATAATTTAAGATCAAAGATATAAGACTAACCGTTAAGTAGTTCTCAACCAGAGACAGTTTTGGACAGTGTCTGGACACATTTTTGGTTGTTACAACCAATGAAGGGAGACAGTTCAACTGATATTTAGAGGGAGTGCCCCACGAATGCTATTAATCATCCTCCAGTGAGGTGGGCAGGCTCCAACAAAAGTTTTATCTGATCCCAAATGTCAATAGTATTGAAGTTGAGAAGCTCTATGTTAGATAAGGGAAAACTAGTACAATGAGTGTATTAGCTTTCTCAGACCACCTTAATAGAATATCATTGATGGGGTAAAAAACAGCAGAAAATTATTTAAAGTTCTGGAGGCTAGAAGTCAGAGACCAGGGTACATGCAGGGTTGGTTTCTGGCTTGTAGATGTCTGCTTTCTGACATGTTCTCATCTTTGCACGTACATGTATAGAGAAAGAAAAAGCAATTGCTGGTGTCTCTTACTCTTTTTATGGGATGATCAGCACTATCAGATTAGGGCCCCAATATCTGACCTCATTTAACCTTAATTATCTTCGTAATCCCTGTATCTTCAAATGTAGTTATATTTGGAATTAAAGCTTCAACATGTGAACTGGGGAGAAGGAAAGCACAATTTGTAACAATGGGGGTAAAGGAATAGGTAATATATGGACTATTTATTTCAGTGATGACTAGGCATTCTGTTTTGTGTTTTGGGCAGGAAAGAAAAATCTAAATCTAGAGCAGTTATCTATTTCAACAAGGGCTCCATGCTGTCTTTCCTGTGATTAAAGTGGTCAGAAACCACATCAGTGGCTCGGTAGGTCTCTGTTATGAGCAACTTGAGCAGTCAGCATTGGCTATGAGGCAGATCAACTGTGCTGAGTAAGTCCATATGGCTGAACTTGTTCATCACCTGCATTCTTGCTGCCATAACTGTCTAGTTCATGAAGCCACTGAGTAAGGTTGGAGTACTAAAAGAAAGAGTCTAACTAACATCCACAGAGCAGGGCATCTTGTTTGTGGATTATTAAAATCGTTCTCTGCTGAGGTTAGTCATTGAACACAGTTAGAACCCAGTGTCTATACTCTCTGAATCTGTGTGCAGAAGTTCGATCAAATACCTTTACCCCAGAGTTCCATTTCTGACTATCAAGCCAAGTCATTAATCAAGCACATGAAGTATGTAGCTCCACACTTCTGGACCTCTTTCCTTTTAGGTTGGGTAAACATTTAGTTGTACCATTCATAGTTCTTCTCGCTGGCAAGATTTATCTTCATTACACTACTTTGGGGTCACCCTTGTGGGTTCTGGAGGTATAATTTCACTTTCAAGTGTACTGGAATCCTGTGCAGGAACCTTCTATAAACCAGGGTTACAGTTTTTTTTGTTTTTTAAAGATTTATTTATATATGCCTACAGAACTGGCATACAGGCCAGAAGTATGGTGGGTGAGAAGACTCACCAGAGACAGACTAGGGAGCAGAACAGGCAGACTGACAATGTACACCGCTGAAGGGAACAGCGGGTGGGCCAGGAAGGGTCTGCCACACTGTGGGTCAGCTCTCTGGCCTCAGATGGAAGTCGCTTCCGAGAGCTTCATAATGTGGTGCTTTAACCCATTGTGCCACCAGGGAGAGCCCTGCTTAGTTTTTTCCCCCTTTTTTGATTAATAGATCACTGAGAGCTTTTCATTGGTCCAGATGAGCAGGTTGAGGTGTGTGTGTTGGGAGGGGGTTAATTTAGCAAGAGTAGGACTAATGGGAATTTGAGCTACTTGCCTTTTTCAATTTATGTGTGACCGCAGGACCTGTATAACCCTGATTTTGTTTATTTTACTTCCTCTTAATGACCAAGTATTACTCTGCACAACCAATTTTGTGGCTTGGTGAGTCAGACAATCCTCAGTTAATAATGGGTAGTTCACATGGTAACTTGGTGACTGGTGGTCAAGTCAAAGACAGAAACACTTTCTCAAAAGTATAACTTCCCTCCAGAATCCTAAAATTCTGTGCGGTGATCCACCAAACTTACCTACCAAAATCTCCATAAAACATCACTCTCTGTCACAGACATTTTGGTTATCATTAGATCTACTGGGCCACGTGATTAATTGACAGAGCAACCAAGGTGTCCTTTCATTAAGGGACATTTTTACTGGAGTATGGTGTCATGTGATGAAGATATACTGAGGTCTATGGGATACCAGTGGGATATATTGGTCATGCACAGTTGCTATATTTGTTGCTTTCCACTTGGCATTTTTCTTTAATGTAACTAAAACAATCTAATTTAAAATCAAATTCTTAAATAATATAATTAAAAGTTTTGGCTTAGCTTATCAATTTTATTAGATTAAAAGAAAAGGAATTAAAAAATAAATTTGGGAGAATTGCAAACTAAAGGATTTATAATTACATACAGGGTAAATGTGTTTTGTGAAATAGCAGCATAGATGTATAGTTTATTTTTTGAAAGAAATGTAAACATATCACTCAGTGTTTATCTGAGTTTCCATTTTGGACATGAAATTAATGTTTACTGAGTTTAATTATTGTTTCATTCATAGCATGCAGTGATTTCAGAGACCTGTGTTAGTTTTTAATTATTTCTTTCTTTGGGACAATTCCTTGGAATTTTTTTTTTCAATTCCTTGGATTTTAAAAAAGTGCACTGGCACTATTCTATAAGTTATGTTATTTTTACATTTATCTTAATACTTAGATTTTATGTTTCAAGAATAAAAGCATTACTGATCTTTCAAGTAAGAACTAGTAGATTTATATCATAATTATTTCTTGTATATAACTCTAGATGGCAAGAAAGATTTTAACTTATTTAGAAGCAAGATCTTGTTGTTGACATTAACCTTTGATTTCTAGGATCTTATTATGGGATAGTCCAGCTAATTTGAAGTTACTATGAACAAATTAATTTCCGATTTTTGCTAGAAATGTGACTGACTTGTCTAACTGGAAAAAAGGCTTCACTGTGTAACTAGGACAAAATAAGATGCATACAGAGATAGAATAAGGCTGAATCAGAGAGCTGCTGGAAACAGAATGTTGAGATAGATAAGAACCCCGAAGCTTCAGAAACAGGTCAGGTAGGAGGGAAATTTAGGAAAAAGAAATTACCTAGAGCTAGGATTGCGACTGATTTGTGATATAAGAGCGCATTGGTGAATAGGGGTTAGATGGAACCATATAGGAAATAACATGGCAAATTGGAGAGCCCTGCTAGACAACGTAAAGCTAAACAAGACTTTAATCATAAAATAATGTATAGGGAAACATAACAGCCTAAGATTTTAGTGTTGTTGACAATAATGTTCTTAGTGAGTATGGTTTGAATGAATGGGGTTTCTAAATTAGCCTCAGTTTGCACAATTTTAGATGTTGACCAGAAAGGAGGAATTGGTTGGTGGATAGGTTAGAGTTGGAATTGAGTAAAATTACTGAGTATGAAGCAGCCTGAGAGTAACAGGTTATGAGAAACTGTCTGAAATACAGAGGAAGCAAAGTTGGTAGGAACCATCTAAATGAGGTTTGCTTCTTTACACAACAAGTAATTAAGTAGTTCCATGATAGGTCTCAATAAAAAAAAAATGTGTGAGAGAGAGAGAGAGAGAGAAAGAAAGAGAGAATAGTTTAAGTATTCTAGCTAGGTCAACCATTGTCTCTAAAGTGCAAAATTTAAGGTGTCATATTCTTGCATTCCACTACCCTAAGTTTCTAGCTGCCACCTACATACTAAAGAATGCATTTTGCTGATAATTGCATTTAATTTTCTCTTTTAAAAGAATGAGAAGTTCACTTTTGAACTCTTGTCTTCTCTATCATCTGACTTGACCTATTCTGCTCTTCTCTATTTCATATACGTCATTGGTTACTGTTGCTCTAGGGAACTGAAGTTCGATGTCAGTATGTTGTGACATGTGCGGGACTTTACTCAGACCGTATTTCAGAGTTGAGTGGCTGCAGTCCTGATCCTCGTATTGTTCCATTCCGGGGAGATTATCTGCTCTTGAAACCAGAAAAATGCTACCTTGTAAAAGGAAACATTTATCCGGTAGGTTACAACACCTTTGCCATTTTATCCTTCTCTAGATAGTTGTGGATGGGGAATGAAGGCAAATATTTTCATGGGTCAGAAGTAACAGTTTTTTAGTGTGCTTTTATATAAATCTTTTTCCTGGTTTTTTGTTTTTTGTTTTGTGTGTGTGTGTGTGTGTGTGTGTGTGGTGAAATCCCTGAATCTTTATTCTGATATTAAGTCATTTAAATTATAGTTAAGAGCCCACAAATACATATCTCCAGAAAGCATGAGTGTATCCTGGGAAGGTCAAATTAAGAAAGAACCAGATTCTTCCTCTTTTTTGGTAAAGGGAACACTCAACAAGAACTTTCCCTGAAGCATGCCCAGATATCAGCTCTATTTCTCAGTTCACTCTATGTGGAAAAAAACAGGATGTGGCCACTCTGTAGTTTCATGGTATAGAAAACAGCCATTTAAATGAAGAGTATATTCTTCTGTCTGGAACCGACTAGGTTAAGCCAGATAAAACTGCTAATACCCAGATATTTAATGTTTTTGACTTTGTCAAAACATTAATATCCTCACCTTCAACCTGATATATTCCCACTTTATAAAAATGTATGCTAATAAAGTATATTTTTTTCTGGTGACTCTGATTTTACATGTGAACTATATACACCCCTAGTTGGAGGTGAGAGGAAAGTGGGGATAAGATACTGATAACATCAACTTGAATAGTTCTTTTTCCAGAAAGAGGGAGAGGTGAGACTGTATTCCAATAGTAGCAGTGTTTTCCTGATGGCATTTCTAGACCGATGCATAGGATAGTTACACATTAAACAGTTACACATTAAACTGGTGCAATAGTTAAAGTCTCAGTGCTATCAAGCTATCACTAGCCACTGAGACACGAGTTCAATCCCTGGCCAGGGAGCTGACCCACATGACACAGCAGACCTCTCCTGTCTTGGCCACTGCTCCCCTTAGCAGTGTTTATCAGTAGATCCACCTGCTCCCCATTCTTTTCTGGTGAATCCTTTTACTCTCCATGCCTCTGGCCTACACCCCAGTTTTTGTATGCATAAATAAATTTTTAAAAATGTGTTGCTTTAAAAAAAAAATCTGAACTGAGTACAGATCAAAATAATGCAGGGCCCTCCCTGGTGGTGCAGTGGGTTAAAGCATAGCACTAAGAAGCTAAAGCCACCTCAGCATAATTTCGATTCCCGCCCCAGAGGAGATCCACATGGCTTGGCAGACCTCTCCTGACCTGCCCGCTGCTCCCCTCAGCAGTGTTCTTTGTCGATCTGTCTGTTCTTCATCAATCTGTCTGTTCTTCGTCGATCTGTCTGTTCTTCGTCGATCTGTCTGTTCTGCTCCCCACTGTCTCTGGTGAATCCTCTTAGTGCCCCTATACCTCTGGCCTGTACCGCAGTTCTGTATGCACAAATAAATAAATCTTTAAAGAAAAAAAAAAGTAATGCAAATTTAATCCATGAGGAGAAATTATTCGTATTACCAGTTAAATGTTTGCATCTATAATAAAATGTTATATAATGGGGCTAATAGTTCTCTGCTATATAAAATCCATAGGTCCCAGATAGCCGGTTTCCTTTCTTAGGAGTTCACTTCACACCCAGGATGGATGGCAGTATTTGGCTTGGGCCTAATGCAGTTCTTGCCTTTAAACGGGAGGGCTACAGACCCTTTGACTTCAGTGCCAGAGATGTTATGGATATACTTCTAAAGAGGTAACAACTTTATGTGCTTAAATACAAAAAACATTTTTGCTTATATTTTTACTGAAATTGAATCTTTATTGATATTCTACTTTATTGGTTTTCTACTTATTGGGTAAATCTATATTTGTGACTGGTACATTGATATTTTTATTAAAAGCTTTGTAGAATAAACATAATATTTTAACTACTTCAAGAAAATTCTAATAACCTAGGAAGATGTTTTTGTTAAAAAGAACTTGACTAAAAACCAGCCATACATTTGATGATACAAGGAAGCTGAGTTTAGGAAAAAAGCAGAAGTTTCTCTCAAAATCAGTAGATGATAGCTTCATGAGCCCATTTCAAGACAGTCACCATCACTTAGAAACCACTGGAGAAATCACTGATACCAAAAAATTGTTTGTGGAAAACTAAATGATACTGTACTGGAATATAGATTCTTTACTATATAGTAAGTCAATGAGGGATTTTATTGGTCCTTTGGAACTGTTGCTTTCCAGAGGGTTTCACATCAAAACCACTAAAGTTTTTTAAGCTGTATTTGAGCTTTACCCACCAGACTCTGAACAGGTTTAGGGTGGGCCTTCTAGGACATGTACTTAAATGTGTATGCATAGACACACACAACACATACACAGGTTTTTCAGTGACTTATTTGAGAGTCTGTTACTTTTGACTGACTTAATAAAAGTAGAGGAGATATTTTGTTTGTTTACTATCTGATTCAAAGCTCTACTAATACCTTTGTGAAGCATGTAATATATGCACTAGAAAGCCTTGCTGTTAGCATATTTCATAGATTGCACTTTGAAAGAGTGTTCCCTAGAAATCTGAATTTGGAGGGTATTCTTTTGATGAGATTTTATTGTTATTTTGACCAAGACCAAGAGTTGACTTTAATACATAGTTTTTCTGACTTTGCCTAGATTGCTGGGATGCCACCAGCCACCCAAACAAAAGCAATTTAATGGTTGTAAAGGTGTTTTATCATACTAAAGGCTTCCTTTATCTCATAAAGATTTTTTTTTTCCTTTACTTTCAGTGGCTGTACTAAACTGGTACAACAGAATTTCTCCTATGGAGTTAAAGAAATGTATAAAGCCTGCTTTCTCAGTGAAACAGTGAAGGACCTTCAAAAGTTTATTCCTGAAATCACTATCAGTGATGTGGTTAGGTAAGGAAAAGCTATAATGATTGTAAATCCAGTCATGACCTAGAAGAACTTGGAAGGTGGCATGACTTGGTGATTCATAAGTGCACTTTCTGAGTTGGTCAGTGAACTCACTTGAATCTTTGGGTGCTCTCTCTTTCTCAATAAGTTGCTGAGTTTGTTTGTGGTGCATGTTTGAAAGTTGATGCATCATGACCCACAGTGTTTGAACTAAGTCCATTTATAATTATGTACACTACCTTAAAGCAAAAAACCAAGATCTCCATTATAACTGTTGTGATACCACCTTCTCTTGTGCTGTCTTGCTCATGATAAAAACATACTGCTTGAGATGTTTTAATTCTCCTTACTCTTACTCTTGTGACTATAAAGTATTTTGACTAATTTTGTGTAAGATTATTGATCACCATGTTAACAAACAGGCAATAAACACATTAGAACACTGTATTTTGATTCACTCTTAAAACATTTTAGAAACACTATCAAGGGCCTTCCTGGTGGCCTACGGGTTAATTCTCAATGCTGCTAACATTACTGCCTGAGTTTGATCCGCAACCTGGGAGCTGACCCACATATGGGTTAGCCGACCTTACCTTAGCAGTGTATTTCAGTAAATCCACCTGTTCTGTTCCCCATTCTGTCTGGGTGACTCCTCTTACCCCTACCCCACACCTCTGGCCTACATCCCAGTTCTTCTATGCAAAAATAAATATGTAAGTCTTTTTAAAAAGAAAGAAACACTATCTAGTTCCTAGAATCTTATCTTACTTCCTCTCTACCTCTACCCCACTCAGGTACTCTACCTGAAGGACAGCATGAGAATTGGCAATGTAATAATCAGTCTAAGCCCTTGTTTAAGTTTGGGATAACTTAATTTTTTTTTTGTCCTAAAATTAAAGACTTTTGGACTTGATGTGTAGATTGTCCTAAGTATCACACAGAACCATTTTTCTTTTCTCTGTGGTGATATTTTTAGGGTGTTCACTTTTTTCTCTCTGAAAAGGACATTCCTTGGGCCTGATCAGTAGTGTACTCTGAGGTATTCTCCCTCCATGTGTCCATCTTCCATGAATCTCTAGGAACTAGGTGTCTCCTCAGTAACAGCTGCTGAATTGCCTGGTTTAAAATGTCAGCAGACTTAACTGTATCTGGGAGGAGAACAAAAATCATGGCATCTGTCTCCCTTGGGCATCTTTGTCTGAATCTGACTCTAATGTATCATTTTCGAATCAGCCTCTTTGAATCCTTAGAAGAACCTTTCAACACAGCTAGTGTTTTTTTCCTCTCTCTCTTACTCCTCTACTCACCTTCTGAAATGGAAGGAATAGAAATATCCAGACATTTTCTTTCACTTGCCTGTAAGGCTTTTACATTTTGGGTGGTTTGCTTTAGAAGCTTATTATGTTTTATACTTGGAAACATATTTATCAAATCTGATTCCTGTTACTGCTAATATTATTCCTTGGAAAACATATTAGGGGGTACAGTGACGTCTGTGTATAAACAGTTGCACTACATTCACTACCCTGACATAATGACCTTCCTTTCATAGAAGCCTGAGGAAAACTCTTTAGACTAGTGGAGTTGAGTTAATAGGATGTACCTCGGCTTGTGGGTTTTAGTGAATACTCTTGTCTCTGGATATAAGGATGTGAAATTAGTTACAAGTTTCATCAGCATGTCATAGAAAAGGGCACAGGTAGTGTAGATAGGTGTACTTGGAGAAAATTCAACCCAACACAGATGAGTTTTTCTTTGGAGATAAAATTGAATATACTCATTTTACACTTATTCCTTCCCATGATTCCTATAGCTATTACTTGCAGGAAATTTTTTACACTTAGCAACAAAAGTAGTAGAACCAAAGCTGTAGAACATATGTTTGATACCATTTATGTAAGTTGAAATGCTGCCGTATATTTTTTTGATTTGCATATGAAATGAGAAAATGAAAAGAAGAGTGGGAATGATAAAACACCAAATTCAGAAGTTGGTTACTACTGGGGAGAGAAGGGAATTGGATCCAGAAAGTTTCACAGGGGCTCCTCTCATATCTTTATTTCTTAAACTATTTGGTAAGAAAATAGGTGTTCACCTTTGGCATATGACTGAAGTATCAAATAATAAAAATAAGATCAGTAGACTTTCCCATAGCTGAAGCCCAAGTATTGTCTGGTCTCATTCATCTTGTAACCCAGCGCAGTAAAACTACAAATGGTCTATCATTAATATTGAAGTGGAACATATTAAGCAGTTCTAGATGGTAAAAGAGAACTGAAGCAACACTTTTAGTAGGATGTTTTCTCAGGATGGTGACCTTAGATTGCATAATTACCAAAAGGTCACACACACAATTATTTTTTTATTAACTTCTACTTTGCCTGTCTTCTTATCGCCTAGCAAAAAAATTTGGGCAATACATTACTAGTGAGTGTTAGTGTGAGTGTATCTACAGTACCTGTGCCCTTTTCTATGACATGCTGATGAAACTTGTAACTAATTTCACATCCTTATATCTAGAGACAAGAGTATTCACTAAAACCCACAAGCCCGAGGTACATCCTATTAACACAACTCCACTAGTATAAAGTTGTAATCAGTCAAATATATGAATTTAGTATTAAAACTTCTCTTTATTAAATGATGATCTCTAAAATTCTTAATTTTTTTTGAAAGATTCATTTATTAATGCATACAGAACTGGTGTACAGGTCAGAGGTGCAGGGGTGGTGAGAGCATTCACCAGAGACAGAGTGGGAAGCAGAACAAGCAGATCAATGAAGTACACTGCTGAGGGGAGCAGCGGGGGGTCAGGAAAGGTCTGCCACACCATGTGGGATCACCTCTGGGGCGGGTTGGCAAGGATTGAACTCATGCTGAAGTGGCTTTAGCTTCTTAGTGCTGTGCTTTAACCCACTTTGCCACCAGGAAGGGCCCTAAAATTCTTAATTTTAACCCTACATCAATTGATATGTTCTGTAATTAATTTTGATTTGCTAAACTAATAGCAATCCTTATCTGTCAGCATTGTAAGGCTGTAAAAGATGAAGATATATATGTTAAGATCCTTTTTTCTAATAGTTCATTTTGAAAAATGCCTTATTTAAGGAATTCTAGAGAAAAGTTTTAGACGATGTTTTCATCTTGAGTGATAGCTGGATACTATAGTAGGTTATCGTGAAATGCAAATGTTTTGTGAAATACAAACTTTCCTGCAATAATGATGATCTAGAACAGGATTTCTACCCTTGGTATTATTCACATTTGGGACCACGTAATTCTTAGTTGTGAGACACTGTCCAGGATTTTTTGCAGCATGCCCAGCCTCTTACCTAGTAGATGCCAGGGGTATTCATTCTGTAGTTATGACAACCAAAAATATCATTGGACATTGCCAGAGGTCATCTAGGGGGCAAAATCTCCCTTGGTTGAGAATCACTAATCCAGAGAATTTGGTAACTCTCATAGTACAGAAGTACAGAATACTTAGGAGTCTGGAAAAAATATAATTAATACCTGAGAAAGTGAGAATATAAGGGGTACCCCAGGAGCAAAAGCAAAGAGGAAATTGAAAACCTGAATACCAAGAGAAATTGAACACTGATGCTGTCCTGGAGGGCTGAGAGAATTTGAGAATTTTGTTAAAATATAACTGAGTTTTATTTTTTTTAATTATTTATTTATGAATACAGAACTGGGGTACAGGCCAGAGGTGCAGGTGCAGTGAGAGGCTTCACCAGAGACAGAGTGGGGAGCAGAAGGGGCCGACTGACTAAGTACACTGCTTAGGGGAGCAGCGGACGAGTCAGGAGAGGTCTGCCACGCCATGTGGTCACCTCTGGGGCTGGGGATTGAACTCATGCTCAAGTGGCTTTAGCTTCTTAGTGCTGTGCTTTAACCCATTGCACCACCAGGGAGGGCCCACTGAGTTTTATTTTTAATTGAAATATTTGCATAAAATAAATACATAGATTGTAAGTAGTCAATAAACTTTAGTAGTTATATGAACTCATGTGTCCATAAAACAAGATATACAATATTAAAAGCTATGTTTTAATTAATTTTTTAAAGATTTATTTATTTATGAATACAGAAATGGGGTACAGGCCAGAGGTACAGGGGCAGTGAGAGGATTCACCAGACACAGAGTGGGGAGCAGAACAGGCAGATCAATGAAGTCAACTGCTGAGGAGAGCAGCGGGCAGGTCAGGAGAGGTCTGTCATACCATGTGGGTCACCTCCTGGGTGGGCAGGGTTAGTACTCATGCTAAAGTGGCTTTAGCTTCTCAGTGCTGTGCTTTAACCCGCTGCGCCACCAGGGAAGGCCCTGTTTTGGTTTTTTTAGCTAAAAACTTTTTTTATTGAGTTAATCTTAGTTTACAACATTGTATTTTTTTTTTAATTTATTCATCCATGCATACAAAACTGGTGTACAAGCCAGAGGCAATGAGAGGATTCACCAGAAACAGAGTGGGGAGCAGAACAGGCAGATCTACTGAAATACACTGCTGAGAGAAGCAGCAGGCTAGACAGAAGTCCGCCACACCTTCTGGGTCACCGCCCTGGCCTGGGATGAAACCTGAACCTGAACCCGTTGCTGAAGCGGCTGCAGTCAGCTTTGCAGTGCTGCATTCCAAACTGTCACACCGTCAGGGAGGGCCTACAACACTGTATATGTTTAAAGGGAATAGGTTCTAACCTCTTCAAATGTACATTTTCACACCATGCCAACCATGAAAGCATCAATCATGTTCCACCATAGGAAACTTATATAAAAGGAAGACTTGGGTTTATAAAAGGTAGAAAGTTGTAACTGAAGCCCCTATTTAAGTTCAGGGGTTCTTGAAGAGCTATACCCGTAGTGAAAATAAAATCTAGAAAAATATATTTCCCTTGGCACTAGAAAGCGTGAAGGAATTATGTCTGTCTTGGTCTTTAGGGTGGTGCTACTTTAGGAAAGAACAAGTATTTATAACTAACCAATTTGTGAGTTCACTTGATAATCATTTATTGTACTGTTATGTTGAAGGCATTAAACTCTAAACTAAGGATTTAAGGATTTTGACTGATCACAATTCATAGCCTTTAGCTCAATACAAACCTACTGTGCTTCTACATAATTGTGCTTTTAGAAAAATACTGCTTTAAAATACTTTAAAACCACTGACTCATAAAGTGTCCTGTCGCTTCCAGTCAGTTGACGACTACTTTGTTTTTGCAGAGGTCCAGCTGGTGTAAGAGCCCAAGCTCTAGATAAAGATGGAAACCTGGTAGAAGATTTTGTATTTGATGGAGGAGTTGGGGATATTGGAAATCGTATTCTTCATGTGAGAAATGCGCCTTCCCCTGCTGCTACTTCTTCCCTTGCGATTTCTGGAATGATTGCAGATGAAGTACAGCAAAGATTTAAATTATAAATAATGAAAGGAGTTAGGTAATGCATTTTAATCTCCATTTTCAGCAAAAAGAAGGTACTAATTGCATTCTTTAATTTTAGTATGAGAAATTGTTTGAAAACTTCATTTTTAGGTCCTAATTTAGGTAATCACTGACTTGTTAGCATAATAATATGGAAATAATGATTTTTAAAATCCATGTTCTTTTACTTTGTGAATGAAAAGTTGTATCTGTCCTGAATCCCAATTTTGTTAGTTATAATTCTTGGGATTGATGGCATTAAAAAATTGATTCTTAACTTTTTAGTTTTATAATACTTAAGCTTTTTTGTCTTTCCTGGATAAGAAAATAGAATACTATAGGTTGTAAATGACTTTTGATTTTTGAAGGCTCATAGAAACAGTAATGTTACTTAGAGCAACAACATTTGTACTGGGGGATTTAAAATTCTTGATTTAAAGAAAATACATGAAATTTCACATTTTTAAGTAGTTTTAAGTAGTTATCATATTTGTAAGAAATAGCTTTGCTAAAGAAACTCAAAGCCTTTTATTATTCCCAGTCTCATAAACTGATTTGGTGTTGCCATTACCAAATCTAAACCACAATATACTATGAGTTGTTGCCTATTCTTCTGTCTTCTATGATTAAGAAACTTAAAGAATTTAGAACTGATAAGTAAGAGGCATCTTAGAATCCCGAAATTGAAATCTAGAATTCCTGTAATTAAAAAAAAAAAATTACCTCATATCTCTTTTTCCATTTATACCAAAGTTTTCAAATGTTAACTTAACCCAAATCACTAATAATTAATTGCCCACTTGGTTTTTCAGGGGTCCTACAAATTTTTTAAAAAGATTTATTTATTTAGGGGTACAAGCCAGAGTTGCAGGGGTGGTGAGAGGCTTCACCAGAGACAGAGTGGGGAGCAGAACAGGCAGATCAGTGAAGTACAGTGCTGAGGGGAGCCGCAGGGGATCAGGAGAGCTCTGCCATGCCATGTGGTCACCTCTGACGCTGGGGATTGAACTCGCACTGAAGCAGCTGCGACTCGCTTGTAGTGCTGCGTCCTCACCCGCTTCACCACCAGGGAGGGCTGGTCCTATAAATTTTTGTAAGGATATTTATTTTGGGGAAATACCTAATTTTGAGGCATTCACTTTTGTAAAACACATAAGTGCCTTACATAGCTGTACGTCTCCTGAGTATTTTAAGTTGGCCCATGCTATATTCTGTATACTGTATATGTGAGTGGGGTGGCTTATGAAATATTTCTTGTAATTCAGAAAGTTGGGAAATAGGAATATAAATGTAAAACAGTAGCCTACTGATTGGAAAACTTTTATTACAGAACTACCACTTATTTTTAGATTACACATTTTCATGCATCCCCTCACATGAACTCTCATCTTTTTCTTTTCCCTATTTCTCCAAAGTTGTGTGATAGATATATTAGAAGAATGTGCATTTTGGTTGATAGAAAGAAATCACAAAGTTTTTCCTTTTCACTTCTAGCCTCGGTGATTACATTGATTGAGCTACCTCATCCATTAATTTGGAAGGCTACATATCATCAGCTCATGCTCAAGAAGTAGCACATCCTAGGTGAATATACTAGGCAATTATCTGATTGAGATGAATGTATCAAAAACATTCACAGAAGAACAAACCCTAATGGCTCTTCATAAAAACTGATTACTCTAAGAAATGAGACATGCAGAATGTTTTTCTATTCTAAGACTATCAAGAAATGTAAAATAATACAAATTTTCAATTTATCAACTGTAATATTGCATATACACTAAACTGTGAAAGACTGAAATTGTAAAAATAATTTACAATTTTTAAATTAATAAAGCAATCTTTATTCCATATGGGTCTGTACGATCCCCCCCCAATTAAAGTGAAAAAATTATTGAAAGTGCTTCATATATGTATCCTGTTTGTAAAACATTTCATATTTGTCAGCAGGATTTTATTGTGTAATACTGATATATATGTTTTGTGTATTTCTGAGAAAACAAATGTATATTAATATTAAAACTATTTTAATTGAGTCTTGGTGTTGTGAATGATTTTTTTTTTTACTTCAAGTAAATTTTCTATGTGTAAAACATGAACTTTAGTGCATCCAATCTTTAAAAAAAAAAAAACAAAGAACTTCTGTATTTGTGCGTTAAACCAAAATAGGTAGTTTATATTTTGGGTGAAATCTAGAGCACCTCCCCATTTATAAAAATGGATTTCCATCTGGTATTGATGGCAGTATCTGACTCAGTGTCATCTTCGTATCTCAGGGTATGAAGAGTAAGTTATCTTCATATCTCAGAACACCAAGGAGCATTGTTTCTGTTCCATAGAAAATTGTTTATAATTTATATATATATATATATATATATATAATCTTCTGGAATTTCATTAAAAAAATTATAGTAACAAAAAAAATTATAGTACCTCTTGGGAAGACATTTTTGGGATCTTACAGGGGGTCATGTTTCTGGGCTTGAGTTTACCATGTGGGTTAATGGGCAGATGATCTGAGTGCCTGTTCCATCTCCTTTCCTGCTGGAGGTCTAACAAGACTATAAGAGCTACCTAGCTACAGCAGTAACTATGAAAGCTAGGGACAATGCCATTTATTATTTCCTGTGGTGTTGCTTTGGCTTGCTCCTACCTATTTTCAATGGGAGAATATTAGTGGTAAAATGTCAACCACCTTTTAAAATTTTAATTGTACTTAAGATCATTCAGATTCTCTTCCCCAAAGCTATTCCAAATCTAAAAAGACAAGCAAAATTACTATCTGCCAAATTATTCATATAAAAGTATATTAATCTTATACAGCTTTCTAGTTTATAATTGAGCTTTTTGTTAGATGCATAAGCCCTCTTATGACATCAGTTTGTTTAATCCACTTTTTAAAACTTGACAAGTAATGAAGTTGTAAATTTTTCCTTTTAAAAAAGGAATTAATATTTTGAATAAATACTTTTTAAATATATTTTTAAGGTTTATTTATGCATTCAGAACTGGGATACAGGCCAGAGGTACAGGGATGGTGAGAGGATTCACCAGAGACAGAGTGTGGAGCAGAACAGGCAGATCGACGAAGTACACTACTGAGGGGAGCAGCGGGAAGGTCAGGAGAGGGAGGTATCCTAGAAGTAAACAATTGAAATAATAATTAGTAGTAATTGGGGACTGGTTCAACAATAGTATGCTGCGCCATGTGGATCACCTCTGGGGCCAGGATTGAACTTATGCTGAAGTGACTTTATCTTCTTAGTGCTGTGTTTTAACCTGCTACGCCTTCAGGGAAGGCCCATTGAATTAGTTCTTAATGGTTTGAAAAGTCAAAAATCACACAAAAATATACACTGAAGTCTCCCTCTCCCAGCCTTTCAGATCTCATCCCAAAACAACAAAAATTGTCAGTATCTTGTGGTCTCTCAGAGACACTATATATATATATATATAAAATACTACCTCCATTTATAATATAAGTGCAGCATGGCTTATATACTATACCATACTATACTATACTATACTATATCATACATCTTACTATTTTTACTGTGCAGTCTCTTAGAGAACCACTGGCCAGGTTCTTCTAAAAAGATTGTAAAGTTTCCATTCTATGAACTTAACTATTGTTAAACCAGTCCCCAATTACTACTGATTATTATTTCAATTGTTTACTTCTAGGGTACTTTGTTTTTGCTGTAACCCCAAAGAATACCATGATAAATAACATGTGTCTAAGTCACTTCACATATACTAAGTATACCTATAGGATACATTTCAAGAATTTGTTGACTCAAAGGATATATAATTTTGCAACTCTGATATTGTCAAGTTGTCCTCTATTGAAGTTAAAGCAATTTACACTCTCTCCAATAATATATTAGAGCACGTTTCCCATACTCTCACCAACATAGTGGTGTATAGTCAGACTTTTTAATGTGCTCTTCTAGTAGATGAGAAGTATTTAAATTTGCATTAAAATTGAGTGAAGTTGAACATTCATTATGTTTGAGAATTTTATTTCCTTTTCATTTCTTTTTTCCTTGTTCTTTTTTTAAAGATTGATTTATTTATTCATACAGAACTGGGGTACAGGCCAGAGGTGCAGAGGTGGTGAAAAGATTCGCCAGAGACAGGGTGAGGAGCACAGGCAGATTGAAGAAGTACACTGCTGAGGGGAGCAGCGGGTGGGTCAGGAGAGGTCTGCCCCTCCATGTGGGTCACCTCTTCATGCTGAAGTGGCTTTAGCTTCTCAGTGCTGTGCTTCAACCTGCTGCACCACCAGGTTGGGCCCTTTTTCCTTTTTCTTATTCAGATTTAGTCTTAGAATTTGTAGGAACTTTTATATTTGGGAAATTAATTCTTTAGGAAATGATTGCAGGTATTTTTTTCCAGTTTGTCATTAGTCTTTCAGTTTGTGGTAGTTTCTTGGTTTTGCTTTGTTTTGTTTTTTGGCCATCCATTACAAAAACAATCAATCTCTAGATTTCTATCATAATAAAAAAATCTTTTGTATTCAAAGTTAAATTATTTTATAGTTTTATTTTTGATACTTAAATCTTTGCCACATCTGAAACTTATTCCTACTGTAGACTGGGGTATGAAGTCAACTTTTTTTTTTCTTTCTAGACGGCCCATTTGTCTAGTTGGGAAACTTTACTGGTGTCATTCTTGGATTATCTTCCACATGCATGGGGATCACATTTCTGTTTGCCTAGCCCAGACATCACAACTCTGATGCCTGTAGAGACTAGGCAGGTTACATAAAAGAGTGAAGAGTGCCAGGTGGAGAGTATAGCCAACTGGAAAAGGGATGGCATATTTTAAAAAGAGGCCAGCCACCACCCACTGCTTCTTATTTCCTACCAGGAATGCAGCTGGGCCCTTTGTTGCCAAGAAACTGGAAATCCAGGTTTTTAGAAGAAATATCTTCATTTAAAATGTTAAAAATTAAAAAAAAAAAAAAAAGGTCTTGGCTAAACTAAAATGCTTCAGGCCAGATTAGCACAGAGAAAGCCTTCATGTCCTTGGCTGAGAACGAAATTTCTCACTAGAACTTTATTCTATAAGGAAATAAAATCTTAGACTCGTATTTGAAGAAAAGACATTTTATATAAACTAGTCTTTATCCTTAGTGATTGAAAGATTTAGAAAAATACAAGCAAACACTGCCTTTTATCCCGAGTACACGGGCGATTTATTAGGAGACATTCTAGATTCAGTGAATACTTGGATTTTAAAAATGACCTTTTTAAACACAATTGAAGTATAGCTGATCTCTTAAGTTTTCCAACTGTTATACTGATCTTGTCCAAATGACGAAATGGTTTGTGTTTTGGGAGAGGATAATTGCTCATATACAACGTGTGGCACTGACTTATTCTTTGCACTGTTTCTCCCTCTCCTTTCCTCACTACCGATGGCTGGAGACAATCTGTTGTAATTCTTGTGTGCTCAGCATCTTCAGTGGCACGACGTTTATGTAAAGTTTCCAAAATCTATGCTTCTTCAATTAAAGAAGATTTAAAGTCTGGGGAGCCTTTTTCAGTTGCTAATTAGCATGGCTGGGCCCCAGGGGCTGAATGCAGGTTTTGTGGGATCTGGCGCCTACACATATTGGAGGACACCATTAAGGAAGCAATTCAAAAGTTTGTTTGCATAGTTTTACAAAAATGATGTAATTTCGTGCTAATACATGGGGGCGCGCAGAAATCAGGTTCAAGTTTGAGTCAAATCATCCGCTTTTTCTGGCCCTACTGTGTGCTGAAGGCGTTCCTTATCTTATCTCAGGTCCCCACGAGAGCGCCCTGTGAAAGTGACTGTGTCCTATATAAAGAGAATAGCCACAACCCTTAAATGCCGAGTCCAGCCCGAGCGCGCCTCTCCACATCTCTATACTGCTTCCCACGACTGCAGTCCCGGGACCCACATACTCTAGAAGAGGCATGGAATCAGGATTCTCCAGGGCGGGCCTCGAGGAGGGAGCGTCTGCGTAAACCGCAGGCAGTAAGCTGGGGAGTCTGTCTGGAACAGGCCCCTGGCAAGTCCTCAGGAGAGGAGGATTCCCGCGGACCGGCGCCCGCGCCTCCGCGCCCGGGTGCACCCGCGCCGGGCCGGCGCCTGAGCCGGCTCCGCGGCGCGCATGCTCCGTGCGCGGCTCCTCCGGCGACCCGGGATAATGAGCGCCGGGCCAAGGGGGCTGGCCAAGCTGCAGCAGCCAGGACCCGGAGCTCCGCGTCGGGCCCGGGGCGCTGTGCGCGGCTGCTGAAGGGGCGGCGGCGACGGCCAGCACCTTGCGCACCCGAGTGTGGCTCTGTGGCCACACGCGCGCGCCCGGTCGGTCCCCAGGGCCCTCTGGAGGTGACTCGGGCGGGCCCGGCCGGGCGGCGGTGTCGGGTGGGAGGGCGGGGATGAGGCGATGAAGAGACGAGCTGCCGCCGTCGCACTCCGCCCGCCGCGGCCGTAGCGGGAGTCGGGCCGGGGGCGAGACCAGTCGTGCCCCCGTCGGGCTGCGAACGCAGACAAAGGAGCAAAAGCCGCCCGAGAGGCGGGCCAGCGCCGCCG